TTATTTTCACTGTTTTTGGCCTAAATGTCAATACAAGACATCAAAGAAAGATCATTTAACTTCACATCAATTAATTCATTCAGAAATGAAACAATTTAAATGTGATTTTAATAATTGTTGTAAGAGTTATAAATGTAAACGAGAATTAATCCAACACAAAAATGCCATTCATTTAAATGTGAGATTTATTTGTGATTTCAATGAATGCCTCAAAAGTTTTACAACAAAACAACAGTTAATTCAACACAAAATAAACATTCATTTGATTCATATCAAAGATTATAAAGTTTTTCACTGTTTTTGGCCTAAATGTCAATACAAGACAAAAAATAAACAAAATATAACTCGACATCAATTAATTCATTCAGAAATAAAACAATTTAAATGCGATTTTAATAATTGTAATAAAAGTTATTTATATAAATCTGATTTGAAAGTTCATATACGAAACATTCATTTAAATGTGAGATTTATTTGTGATTTCAATGAATGCCACAAAAGTTTTATAACAAATCGTAATTTATTTCGACACAAAAGTTNATACGAAACATTCATTTAAATGTGAGATTTATTTGTGATTTCAATGAATGCCACAAAAGTTTTATAACAAATCGTAATTTATTTCGACACAAAAGTTGTGTTCATTTGAATGAAAGGAAATTCAAATGTAATGAAGAAAATTGTGGTAAAAGTTTCCAAAGCAATGCAGATCTAAGATCACACAAACGCATACATTCGGGAGAAAAACCATTTATTTGTCATTTCAATGATTGCAAAAAAGGTTTTTCACAAAGATCTAATCTCAGAGATCATGTGAAAAGACATTTGAATATAAAACTTCATAAATGTATTCATAATAACTGTAATCAACGGTTTGTTACGAAAGCGGAATTAAGATTACATTTAAATCAGAGACATGGATAAAATTGTGAACAAACCTTAATCAATTATTGCAACATTTATTTACAAGATCAAGATTCATTTTAATATAAAGATGAAGTTAAGATTTATTTGTGATGTCAATGAATTAATAAAGTGTCTGCAAAATTAATTAGTCTATCATTAATGTAATTAAAAATTATTTATTTCTATAACCAAAAACGTATAGCAATTTAATTGTAAATTTATTATTAAAACTTTATAAATAAAATTTACAATAAAATAATATGATTTTATGATTATTATTAAATTATCAAAATACAATTAAATACAGATAATTAAAACATTGATATTAACAGAGATTGTCGTGAAATGAGAATTTTATTTGTTTGTAAAAATACAATTCCAAGTGTAATATGTTTGACACAAATTAAGTAAATAATTAGTTTAAAAATTTAACAAAACGAGAATATATTGAATTAATTGAACAACAAAATCAAATACAAATGCAATTATCATAACATAACATATCGCACAACAAATCCACCACAAAAAAGGCCTCAATCACTCAATTCCAGTGTCTTTAACCACTTTATGAGCCCCTCGTCAGCGATGGGCAAACATATGGTGCTCTTGAAGGTCGCGCACCGACACAAACGTGTTGTCACAACGCGAGCACTGATGCCTACCCGCCGGGTGTGCGGACATGATGTGGACGGACTGCATGTGACCGTAGAATAGCAGCTCATCGGTAAACCCTCGATGACAGCCCACGTACGGACACAGGTATCCAATTGATGAGTGAGTGGTTATGGGGAGGGCGTCGGCCAATGGATATGCGTTAACTGACGGCGAGGGCGACCGCTCCCGGTGTTTGTCGCACTTCCGGTGACTCTTACTGTGTTTGCGAAGCCGTCGCCGGTTTACAAATGTTTTGTCGCAGCCGTCGTGCGGGCACAGGTGGCCATCCCGTGCCCGTGTAGTAGCAGTAGTAGTAGTAGTAGTGGTAGTATTATCGGTGAAGTAGCGTTTGATTCCCGATAGGCCGCGACGGCAGCGGTTCTTATGCGCGTGGAATAAACCCACGTTTGCAAATGTGAGGCCACAGCGCTGGCACTCCGGCACCGGTGGGGTACGAATCACATCCGGTTGCCAACAGTCCGGCCGCCGGTCGCAACACTTCGTGTGTTCCGATACTAGTCGGCGGTTCCAAAACCCATGGCCGCAACCCGTGAACGGACACTTGTATGAGTAGTAGACCGGTGATAGGGGCCGGCCATTGCCGGGCGACTTACGCTGTCTGTCCACTTGTATGCCGGCTCTCTCGGTGTCCCGTTTTGGCTCATTTCTAGTGGTGCTCAGCTTTATGTAGCCGTCGAGCGATCTGTTCGGACATTAAAACATATAATTTTATTATACAAATAGTACAGCAGTTATGCGACAGTACTTCTCGTTAATGTCCGGCGCCAGAGGTTTTGGCTTTACATCAGTCGGCGATCGGTTACGTGCGGACCGTTTGGGCGCCGGAACTCTACCAATGAATTCGATATCAGAGTCCGAATCACTTGAGTGTCAAAAAAGTTTAACAAAAGTTAGACAATAAGTTTTCAGTACAATCAGTGATAGAATACTTTTTAAGAGTTATGTCCAGCGATTGTCTGTCGGGTCTGGAGGTAGAGGTTGTGATGATTGGCAGTTGTGGCGGAGGATTAGTAGCAGTGATTATTGGCATCTGTTGTCTGCCATCGGGTGCTCTACTCCTGGACTGGTCTCCGGCATCGGATGATGTGATGAGACTTAATATATGGGGTAATAATTAATGAATGTCTTAAAACACAGACACAACACATACTTATGTAGAGTATTGTCCACCCATTGGTTGCCGGGACTGGAAGTAGTAGTGGTTTTGAATATTGTCTGAGAGACTGAAGGGCCAGTTGTATTGATCGGTGGTATGTGTTGTCTGTCATCGAGTGCTGAGTGTTGTTCCCCGGACTGTGCGCTGCCATCGATGGCATGTCTTTGCCTGATATATAAGTCCAATTGGTTTTGAGTGGCGAACCCTTTGTCGCATTCGTCGTAATGGCATTTGACTGACTTTTGGCGGACAAACGACTCGTCGATCCACTCGTATAAGTGAGTCAACGCTCGACTGCAAAGACACAGATATTTGTCACTAAAACAGATTCAGAGGGCTATGGGTTTTACTCTTCATTTCAATCAACGAAACACTCATTAATTTTGCACACATTTCAATCAATACTTAATAGTATATTTAAACCACAATTAAAAATAATTAAATTAGCAATAAGTTAATGAAAATCTATAATTATAAAATAATTTGCCAAATGTTTGAATCAAATGCACTGTATTTTCTTCATAGCATTCAATACCTGAAACTGTGGCCTATTTTACGACACTTTTATAATCCCTATTCATTGCCTGCCATTGGTTTATACGACAAATATTTATTAAACCCAATTATAAATAAGTTTATTGTGTATTACTAATACAGTATTAGTATATATGGGGACATCAAGTGAACACACCTGTGCTTTACCAGTGAATCCAATTCTGATTTCCATTAAATTAATACTATTAATAACCACTCTATCCCTCACTTTTGACAAAAATGCCTTTTGGTCTAAATTTAACCTTAATGACTCTCTCTCTCTCTCTCTCTCTCTCTCGCCCGCAGAGCCCCGAGCAGTGGCCACAAACACTACCACGACATCGGTTCGGCCAAAGAAATGGCTCGAGTGTCCGAATCACTTGAATGTTAAACAAAATGGTCTCAAAAAACTGAAATCATTGAAATGCAATTACAAAAATTGTTACAAAAGTTTATGCATTTATAAATATATTTACAATAAAAATAATATTATCTATAATTACGTCCATTAATTCCAATAAAACTTTCGTAACTTTTCAATAAAACCATTAAATTCTGTATTAATGTGTCTCTAATTTTGTACTTATAGTGAGCCGTAATTTATATACGAATACTTATACCACACGTTATGCCATAAGAGTTGTAAATAAACAAAGAGTTTGCACACAATTTAAGTGTTGTTTTAATTATGAGTTAATTAATCAAATAAAACACTTCTCAACGGCTGTTAACCAATCAAAACACACAATGAATGTCAATCTCAACGTATAGTGCCTTTCATTGACCGCAAACCTCAATGTCTGACCGAACGATCACCGCCGCCGCCGACGACAGGTATTATTGATTGGATTATTATTATAATCACCCAATACTACGCCCACGAAGTCCTACCCGTCCAGTCCTACTGCTCTTTTCCCTCCACACCACCCCCTATAGCCTTCTGGATCTGTTTCAGTGACAAATATCTGTGTCTTTGCAGCCAATTATTGACTTACGAGTCGATATTTGAGTCGTTTGTCCGCCAAAAGTCATTTAAATGCCATTACGACGGATGCGACAAAGGGTTCGCCACTCAAAGGGCATTGGATTCGCATATAAGCCGAAGACATGCCATTGAAGACAACACACAGTCCGGGGAACCGATCGGCGGGTCATCTCATGTCAGACACCAGTCATTGAGTGCAGCACTCGATGGCAGACAACAGATACCAATCATCAGTACTACTGACACTTCACTTCCACTAACAATAACCACAACCACTACTACTTCCAGTGCCGACACTCAATGTGTGGCCAATACTCTACATAAGTATGTGTTGTTTCTGTGTTTTAAGACATTCATTAATTATTAGCCCATTTATTAAGTCTCATCACATCATCCGATGCCGGAGACCAGTCCATGAGTAGAGCACCCGATGGCAGACAACAAATGCCAACAATCACTACCACTAGTCTTCCACCGCAACCGCCAGTCATCGCAACTTCTACCTCCAGACCCGACAGAAACTCGTCCGATATCACAGACCAGTCCATGAGAAGAGCGAGTGATGTAAGCGAACAGAAGCCAGAGATCACAGCTACTTACCCTTCAGTCTCGGCGCCGACAATCATCACAACAACCACTTCCAGTCCCGACAGACAATTCCTGGACATAACTCTTAAAAAGTATTGTCTTTCTGATTAAGACTTATTGTCTAACTTTCAGTACTTAATCTTAAACACAATTTGTAAATACTCAGCCCTTCTTCAGCCGATATCAAAGGCCAGTCATTGACGACATCACTCAATGCCATTCATAAGATTTCAAAGACCGAGACAACAGTTGTGCCATCACTGCCACAAACAGTGACCACTTCCAGCGCCGACAGCCAATTGGTGGACATTACTAGCGATAAGTATGTGTTTGTGTTTTAAAACATGTACTAATTTTTGACACTATTTTGTTTAACATTTAAGTGATTCGGACTCTGATATCGAACTCATTGGTAGAGTTCCGGCGCCCAAACGGCCCGCACGTAACCGATCGCCCGTTGATATCAAGCCATCGCTCGTAGACTCCATACCTCTGGTGCCTAATATTGTCAAAAAGTATTGTCACAACTCTTATTGTATTTGTATTCATAATTCATAAGTATTTTAATGCCTAACAGAGCGCCCGAAGTGGACATAAAAGTTACAGGCGCTGGCAATGAGCTAATTCGTGACATCGCGCCCGGCATACGGGTGGTCAAGAAGCGTAAGGCGCCCGTAGATCCACGACTGGCCGCTAAAACTACCAGAACAAGTGCACCCGACCTGATCCCATGGTACCCGTGCCCGTACATGGGTTGCCGCCAGACATTTAACACCCAATCATTACTGACTACACATATGCAGTCCATCCACTCATGGGTGCAGTGGTCGCCCGATTTAAGCTATCCGTGCGATAAATGTGACCAAAAGTATAGCACAGGACTCGCGCTTCACAACCATCAAGCGGTGGCGCACCCGAAGCCCGCGCCCATCACCACCACTAAGAAATCCTCAACAGACCTGATCCCATGCCCTTCGGTGCCTAATATTGTCCAAAAGTATTGTCACAACTGTTATTGTATTTGTATTCATAATTTATAAGCGATTTAATGCCTAACAGAGCNCTAAGAAATCCTCAACAGACCTGATCCCATGCCCTTCGGTGCCTAATATTGTCCAAAAGTATTGTCACAACTGTTATTGTATTTGTATTCATAATTTATAAGCGATTTAATGCCTAACAGAGCGCCCGAAGTGGGTATAAAGCGCTGGCAACGCGTTGGCAATGAGCTAATCCGGGACATCGCGCCCGACATACGACCGGTTGGGAACACTACCGCCACATCGAAACTCAAGTGTCCGCACACGGGTTGCGGCCAAACATTGCAAACAAACAAATCATTTAAAAGACATGCGACGCGTTGCAAATGGCGGCTGCGTGTGGAGCAACCGTTGACCACATTTCACAGCCACTCATTGGTGCAGCGGTCGGCCGATCAGCGCTTTCCGTGCGATAAATGTCACCTAAAGTATGGCACAGAACTCGCGCTTCACAACCATCGAGCGTTGGCGCACCCGATGCCCAATGCACTCGTGTGTCCGAACACGGGTTGCGTCAAAACATTTCCAACAAACAACTCATTGCACAAACATCTGGAGCGGTGTTGCAAATGGCGGCCGACGGGTGTCGGCCAACCGGTGGCCACCACTAGTAGACCGTCAGCGGCGGTTATCAACCAGTGTCCTGAGTGTTGGCAGACCTTTAAAAGGCCGCGACAACTGCATAGACATCGGGCCCTCCACTGCCAATCGGGTGCCAGCCATCTGTGCCGGAGCGCCGACTGCGGCAAAACATTTCAGAGCCGGAAACTACTTCAAAAACACATTAAGACTCACCGCAAGTACGACAAACCGCTGACCGTTAACCGGCCACCGATGGCCGCGACCCACAAGTTCACCGCTAGCGCCCCAATGAGATACCTGTGCCGGCACGTGGGCTGTCATCAAGGGTTTACCGATAAACACCTACTGTTCGCACACGTTCAGGCCGTCCACGTGTCCGCCGCGCTGTACGACCCGTCGGCGAGTGTACACCCGGCCGATCGGCACCGGTGTTCGCGTTGTGACAACACGTTTGTGTCGATGCGCGCCCTTTTCGACCACCAAATGCTCGCTCATCGCTGAGTTGGGCGCCGCCGCCCAACGGCCCACTGGCCATCGGTCGGGGTTTTTATTGCACACAACAGTTTATAAAGCGCTGGAATTGTGTGATTGAGACCTTGTTTTGTGGGACTTTTTTTGTGCCGATATGTTATGTATTGATTATTACGATTTGTATTTTTGTACTTTATTTTGGTGTTTAATTAATTCTGTATTAATAATATACTTTTGCAATGCGTTTGTGTTTATTGGAATAAATTCATTTCTCATTACATTAATGATAAACTAATCAATTTTACTAATCATTTTGTACTTATATTTAGCCGTAATTTATGTACAAATACTTATACCACATGTTATGCGATAAGAGTTGTAAATAAATAATTTGCACACAATTTAAGTGATGTTTTAATTATGAGTTAATTAATCAAATAAAACACTACTCAATGGATGTGAACGAAGACATAATGAATGTCAATCTCAACGTATAGTGCCTTTCATTGACCGCAAAACTCAATGTCTGACCGATTGGTGTCCGCAAAGACATCGGCGACGATCACCGCCAGAGACGACAGGTATTATTGATTGGATTATTATTATAATCACCCAATACTACGCCCACGAAGTCATACCCGTATAGTCCTACTGCTCTTTTCCCTTCACACCAACCCATAGTTCTCTGGATCTGTTTCAGTGACAAATGTCTTTGTATTTGCAGCCATTCTTTGACTTACGAGTCTATTATTGAGTCGTTTGTCCGCCAAAAGTCATTCAAATGCCATTACGACGGATGCGACAAAGGGTTCGCCACTCAAAGCCGATTGGATTCACATATAAGCCGAAGACATGCCGTCGAAGACAACACACAGTCCGGGGAACCGATCGGTGAATCGTCTCATGTCAGACACCAATCATTGAGTGAAGCACTCGATGACAGACAACAGATACCATCGATCAGTACTACTGAGACTTCACTTCCACTAACAATAACCACAACCACTACTACTTCCAGTGCCGACAGTCAATCGGTGGACATTAAGTACAATAAGTATGTGTTTTTCTCTGTGTTTTCAGACATTCATTAATTATTAGCCCATTTATTAAGTCTTATCACATCATGCGATGCCGGAGACCAGTCCAGGAGTAGAGCACCCAATGGCAGACAACACATGCCAACAATCACTACAACTAGTCTTTCACTACAACCGCTAATCATCACAACCTCTACCTCCAGACCCGACAGAAACTCATCCGATATCACAGACCAGTCGATGAGTACAGCGACTGATGTAAGCGCACAGAAGCCAGAGATCACCGACACTGGCCCTACAGTCTCGGCGCCGACAATCATTACAACAACCACTTCCAGTCCCGACAGTCAATTGGTGGACATTACTAGCGATAAGTATGTGTTTGTGTTTTAAAACATAATTTTTGACACCATTTTGTTTAACATTCAAGTGATTCGGACTCTGATATCGAACTCATTGGTAGAGTTCCGGCGCCCAAACGGCCCGCACGTAACCGATCGCCCGTTGATATCAAGCTATCGCTCATAAACTACAAACCTCTGGTGCCTAATATTGTCAACAAGTATTGTCACAACTCTTATTGTATTTGTATTCATAATTCATAAGCATTTTAATGCCTAACAGAGCGCCCGAAACGGATATAAAGGTGACCAGCGCTGGCAATGAGCTAAACCGGGACTTCGCGCCCGGCGTACAGAAGGTTAGGAGGCGTGAGTCGCCCGCAGAGCCCCGAGCAGTGGCCACAAACACTACCACGACATCGGTTCGGCCAAAGAAATGGCTCGAGTGTCCGAACACGGGTTGCGGCAAAAAATTTCCAGCAAACAACTCATTGCACAAACATCTGGAGCGGCGTTGCAAATGGCGGCCGCCGGGTGTCGGGGAACCGGTGACCACCACTGATAGACCGTCAGCGGCGGTACACGAGTGTCCTGACTGTAGGCACACCTTTAAAAAACGCCGACAACTGCATAGACACAGACAACAGCGCCGCTGCCAATCGGGTGAACCACTGGTCAACCCGTGCCCGCGCGCCGACTGCGATAAGACATTTAACACACGGAAACAACTTCAACAACACCTTAAGTACGGCCACCGGAAGTGCGACAAACCCCCGGCCGTTAACCCTGTTGGGCAACCGGTGACCACCGCTGTTAGTTCGTCAGCGGCGGTGATCAACCAGTGTCCTGAGTGTTGGCAGACCTTTAAAAAGCCGCGACAACTGTACAGACATAGGCAACTCCGCTGCCAACCGGGCGCCAGTGAGCTGGTGGCCAACCTGTGTCCGCGCGCCGACTGCGGCAAAACATTTACAAACCGGAGACTACTTCACAAACACGTCAAGAATCACCGGAAGTACGACAAACCCAAACCCCTGATCGTTAACCGGCCACCGATGTTAGAGACCCGCGAAGTCATCACTTGCTCCCCAATGAGATACCTGTGCCGCCACGTGGGCTGCCATCAAGGGTTTACCGATCAACAGCTACTGTACGCACACGTTCAGGCCGTCCACGTGTCCGCCGCGCTGTACGACCCGTCGGCGAGTGTACACCCGGCCGATCGGCACCGGTGTTCGCGTTGTGACAACACGTTTGTGTCGATGCGCGCCCTTCAAGACCACCAAATGCTGGCTCATCGCTGAGTTGGTCGCCGACAGCCGGTGGCCATCGGTAGGGGTTTTTATGGCACACAAACTGTTAATAAAGCGCTGGAAGTGAGTGATTAAGACTTTGTTTTTTTGAAATTTTTTAGGGCGATGTATTGATTAATACGATTTGTATTTTTCTACTTTATTTTGTTGTTTAATTAATTCTGTATTAATAATATAAGTTTTTGGTTATATAAATAAATTCATTTTTCATTACATTAATGATAAACTAATTAATTTTACAGATATTTTATTAATTTTTCTTACATAAGTAAGTTCTTACATAATATATTTGGAATTATAAGTAAAAATAAAAAATCATTTTTAATATTATACATTGGTTAAAAATAGCAAAGTATTTATATTATTTAATTAATGCTTTTTGTTAATACATGTTCGTTAGTCACAATTTGTTACAAATATTTTGCCACAATTGTTATGACTTTATTTTATTATGTGTTTTAATGTGTTCTTTGAGATGAGATGTTTGTGAAAAATTTTTGTTACAATCATTGAAATGACAAACAAATGGTTTATCTCCCGAATGTATGCGTTTGTGGCGAATGAGATTTGAATTAAATCCAAACCTTTTGCCACAATTTTCTTCATTACATTTGAATCTCTTTACATTCAAATGAACACAACTTTTGTGTCGAAATAAATATTGTTTTGTTGTAAACCTTTTGTGGCATTCATTGAAATCACAAATAAATCTCTCATTTAAATGAACGATATTTTTGTGTTTATATAAACCGAGATTAGTTTTATAACTTTTATTACAATTATTAAAATCACATTCAAATGGTTTTATTGATGAATGAATTAATTGATGTCTTGTAAATGTATTTTTATTTGTTGTCTTGAATTGACATTTAGGCCTTTTAATAGCTAGAAATCATAGCCTTTAATACACTATAAGTCTATACTTATAAAAAGGTCTGAAAAGGTTATAGAATATTATGCAATATAT